TTAACCGGGCTAATGCTTGTATCTGACAAACTTTGCAATTCATTACGCTTGCGAACTGCAACAACTGTGTTTTAAAAAGTCTACTTCACTCTTAGCGGTAAAATGTTTAAATCCAGCTAATGTACCAAAACTGCGCTTTGATGGCTTCCTCCCTTGTCACGCATTTCAAACATACGTGTATTACACAAACCTTATCCGCAGAGTAATCTGTAAGTATTGTGAGTTCCTCTGCTGATAATAATGCCCGCTCAATGGGCCCCAAGACTTGTCGAGTGAACATTTCACGGCATAGGCATATTCACTGATATAGAATGTTGTATCGCAAGCATGAGCAGCATTGTATGTGTAAGTTGCGTTTGTCATGACATTCTAGGTCTTGTTCTCGTGCATGTATTTTGATTGGCTTGCAATGTGGGACATAAGTTTTCGTGAAGCATAACATGCCAGTTTATGAGTGGCCCTGGTGCAGTTCAGGACGGAAGATACCTTCACGCTTCAGTGATTCCTCGATGCTTTTCATGACCCAGTATATTCTGTTATATTGCAGGCCGATTATTACCAGCATGATAATTAAGGAACGACAGACAGGGCCCTCCCTGCATCGAGTTGCCTGGCAATTAAAAAGTGAAATGGGGAATCTTAGCTTTTAGCTTTCGGAAACCAGTTTTAATATTATTATTGATTGTGCTTCACAAGTAATGACAACTTTTAACAACTGCCCCCCTCCATCTGGCGTCTAGACAAAAGCTCCAGTGCTGCCCCCCTCCCCTTTGCCTTAGCGTGCTACAAGCAGCAAGATGTTGGCATGTTGGTAAAGCTGTGATACATCCAATAATAGCGCAGATATTTACTATTTGAGGCTTGCCTTTAAACTGTCGCATGTTGCTGAATCCTGGACGATGTTTTCAGCGAATTTCCTTGACGCCATGCTTCTGCGTCCTATACGCATGGGATAGAACCAAAACACTATAAATGGCATCCCGAAGCATGATGATCACTGTCAGTCCTGATGAATAGCTCCTATAGCCTAATGTTGACTTCACCATCGACCAGGTGGGAACAAAGCGATACAAGTTGAGCAGTTAGATGCATGCACCCCGAAAATGTTTTTTAAAGCCATTGTAGCCTAATAAGGGCGTATTCTGACAAAAGTACGTCCGTCCTGCTAAAAAGAAAAGAAAACGCGACGGTGAGATATAATTTTCTACCGTCCCATTTTCTACGATAACTGCGCATTTATCATTGCGCTTCTCACTGCACAATTTGGTTACAAAACTCGATGGAGGAAAATTGCTCCCGACAGTGGAGGATTTTCGTGGAGGAGAATGTTTTTACTCTGAGCTTTACAAAGCTCGGAGGAGGAAATTTTAAAAACCCTATCCGTTGATGCCGTTTTTATTTAAAAATGGCCTCTTGTTATGTTTATTGTTGTGACATGCCATTCTGTCATATAATGGTTACAAATAAGGGTGCATTTGTTTTCATTCGTGCTGCTCTCGTGCTGCTGAAATTTGTTTCCTCATGTGCTCATGTGTCTATATCAGCCATCAGCCCGAGTAACCATGAGCATAGGAAGACTCCACCGACTCGACGGCTAGATTACACACATCAAAATTAGCCCCGTTAAGACTTCCAACCACACCACTAACAACGGATGGAAGCTGTTGATTGCCTTGTAATTTTGATCGATACCACGCAAATGATTTTTGTCGACAATGCCTCGCATAGCAAACGGTATCGTTAGAAAGGTCGCCCAAATTA